AGTTGCCCATGTGGAAGATATTAGGGAATCTCCTTCTGGTTGTGATGATGTGAGATGGAAGTGCTTTGGAGCGACTTTGGAGCACATGTAGACATTCTGTAACTGGTTGCAATCTGCTGATTATATGGTAAATAAAAGCTTCTTTGACTGGTCAACTGTGTTGTTAGAAGTTAGGGTGCAGTTAAGATGTACTAGCCATCCACAGCTTCAGCCCTTCTCTCTGTGTGACTTCTGTCTAGCGAATGGTGTCCAATGAGTGATAGTTTTGTAAGGGAGAGACATTAGGGACGCTTTACTTGAGGCTGACAAATGGCCTATGAATAAGTACCTTAGTGTATGTTGTTTTGTTTTATGTGAAGGGAATTGGATGGTGCAACCTTATGAGTTTTGAAATGTCAGGCATGCAAGCCACCTTATATCTGAGAGTCTGGGAGTCAGGTTCATGCAGGGTTTTTCAGCCTGTCCATCCTCAATGCCCTGAAGAATAAAGAGGAACTATCAGGACCCAGCCCAGCAGTAGCTGAGACAAGGATACATGAGGCATCATGTTGCATTTGGATGTGAAAATGGTGGAGCTGATGTTATGTTGAAACTTGATTAAATCTGAGTCCATCCTCCTGAGGTACCAAAGTGATATGTTGTTTTTGTTTAGTTATTTCAGTCATGTCCAGCCCTTTGTGACCCCATTTGGAGTTTTCTTGACAAAGATATTGGAGTGGTTTTCCATTTCTTTTTCCAGCTCATTTTACAGATGAGGAAACTGAGACAAAAAGGGTTGTGACTTGCCCAGGGTCACACAGCTAGCAAGTGTCTGAGGCCAAATTTGAACTCAGGTCTTCCTGATTGCAGGCCTAGTGCTCAAAGTAGTACTTTGAGTATGACTCCAAGGTATTGGGAGGAAATGTTTGTACTTCAGTTCTTGCTATATCTTTGAAAACTATTTTTTCATAAATTATAATCTATGGTAATTGGTTAAATGGAACTGAGGTACTACTAGCATTGGTGTCTAAGACAGGGTTTATACATGCATTCTAGATGATAGCATTACAGAAGAGACATCTCAACACCTCAGGAGTAACCTTGGAAATCTGAGAGAGACATGTACCTGGACTGACTTTGGGAGAGTGAGGCCATATAAAGTAACTCGCTACAGATATTATTTCAAGGACACATAAAAAAGAAGTAACTCCTAAAGAGCACACTTCAGTAACTGTTATCAATATTGTAATAACTATTAGTGTGAGAAAGTCAAATATTTCATGGATTGTTCAAGCCAGTGAAATAAAATCAGTTCTCTTAAAGCACAAAGTGTGGTTGAAAATGGGGGCAGGGGAGTCAAGAAATAATCAACTAATTGTAGCAAAATAGCCTAATCAATTATCAGAAAACAAAGATCTTCAGAGAAATCTAACAGCCAGAGGCTTGTTACTATTTCCTCTAGAGAAATGTGTAGACCTCACGAAATTGAAAGAACAGAAAGACAATCAATAAACTAGACAAATAAATAAAGAAAAAAACCAAAGTGATAACCGTTATTATGAGGGAAAAAATTCTTGTTGTGGGCAAGACAAAAATTAGAGTACTAAAAATGGTGAAAAGGTCATTTTTTACTAATGAAACCCATTTTCCATTTAAGATTATTCCAAGGGGCAGCTAAGTGGTGCAGTGAATAGAGCTCTGGCCTTGGAGTCAGGAGAACCTGAGTTCAAATCTGGCCTCAGACACTTGACACTTACTAGCTGTGTGACCCTGGGCAAGTCACTTAACCCTGATTGCCTCACCAAAAAGCAAAAAAACAAAAACAAAAGATTATTCCAAAATCAATGTCAGAAGAAGCCTGTAGGCTAGCCTGTAAAAACTGGGCATCTTCAGACTAAAAATCCAATCTCCCCCACAAATGTCTGGAAGATTTTTTTAACTTCCAGTGGGTGAGGAGCTCTTGTGCCCCTTTGAGGGAGTGATGAACTATGATAAATATATTGGTATAATGGAAAGCAAAATTGTTCTGGAATTACAGAAATTCAAAAGTGGAATTTTGGACACAATCTTAAATTATGCCACATGTTAAAACATTTATTTAGAAGATGAAGATAAACATGCCTCAATATCCTGAGAACTTGCTTGACATAATCGGGACTACATTGGGACTCTTCCTCAAAGATATGCTTACCATATAATGAAATAAATGTTCCATTTCATGATGAAGATTATATGCCAAAATCATGTGAACTCAGTGGCAAATTATGTAAAACAAGTGACTGTAACAAAAACAGGACCTATTGCATAATTATAGTTTTTTGAAGATGTTTAAAAAATTGTGATGCGTATCATATGTCAACAAATTTAATTATTTTACTTTGTCCCAAGTAATTTGCACACCTCTGTAAGCTTTGGCAGGCCCTCCTACCAAGCCGGAAAATCTAGTACAGGTTTGGTGGTGACTGTGTATTTGTTGTCCCAGGATAAACTTAGCTAATTTGAAGAAGCTCTTTACCAGAAATTTCGCCCCTTATTGAGAATTTATTTTAGACATAAAAACTCACCAAGAGCTATGGAGCTATTAGGGTCTGTTATCATTGGAGGGAGTACCCTCACTAATGAAATCACAGATTCTTGAACCTCTGAGGTAAATTTAACATATGTTCATGCTGGACTTTGGTCTTCGCATATTTTGGGGATCTCCACTAACATTTGGAATGGATTTCAGAAGCCTACAGCTATATCTATTTTCAATCATATCCTCTGAATAACAGTGAAGCAGGTGAAAGGCTAAGCCCTGAAATGGAGGAGCATTTCTTTAAAAAAAGAGAAGTACATGTTTCTGAAGATGATGTTGGATAGGCATGTAGATTTTATGTAATTATGTGATATTATTATTCCTATTAAGTATGTATTAGTTAGAATACTGCTCTTTTTATTTCTCTTTGTCCCAGGGTTTTGCACCAAAAGGACTCTGTTCAACTTGGCATGTCAGGATTTTGAAGGAAAAATTACAGTAAAATATGTTTAAAACAGTGAGGCCTTATGTCAGCAAACACAAAATTTTCCAAGGTTCTCAAAAATCCTTTTGTTAAAAATATATTTGGTTTAAAAAAAAATTTGGCTTTCTCTGTGTGTATTTTTCTCTTTTCTTTCTCCCCACCATTCCCATTCCTGTTTCCAAATATTCATCTATCTTTCCAGAAAACAGCACAACAAAATTGCATAGGCTATCCAACCTGACTTTGGTGCTAAGATTTCAGATGGACCCTGTTATAGATGGGGACCATATATGACTTTGATTGTGACAAATGTGGTGACAGGAATAGTTTTAGGATGGTAATCTCCTTGTGAGATGATCATTAGAGGCCATTTGCTCTACTGGAAAGCATATTAGACTTGGAGGCAGAAGTCCTGGGTTAGATAGATTATAAACTTCATGAGGGCAGGTATCCTATTTTCATTTTTTAATCTCCCCCCAGCATTTGGTACAGGGCTGTACATAATAATACCTAGAATTTATGTGTCACTTTAAGGTTTTCAAAGCACTTTACAAATATTATCTCATTTGATCCTCACAACCACCCTGGGAGGTAGGTGCTATTATAATCCCCATTTAACAAATGAGGAAATTGAGCAGACAGAAGTTAAATGACTTGCCCAGGGTCACACAGCTAGTAAGTGTCCAAGGCTGGATTTGAACTCTGGTCTTTCTGACTCCAGGTCCAGCATTCTATGCATTATGGAACAACCTAGCTGCCTAACAGCATGCAATAGACACTTAATAAATAAATATTCATTGAGAGATTTTGTGAATGAATTGGTCACTGGTCGACTCTGGCAAAGTAATTTCACTTCTCTGGGCTTTTGCTTCCTCAGGTGCAAAATGAGGAGTCCTCAGATAATCTATCACCTAGGGTTCTAGTGAGGAAAACATGTCACTAGTAATGTTCTCTTGAAATATGGACTGTTAGTATGAGTTAAAGATTCTACTCTTTTAACAGATTGTTGTGAGAGGCAGGAGCCTTTTCTCTGGGGCTGCAATCTCAAAGTGGTCCAAGGCTTTGAAAAAACTGACCAAAAGCAGGGGTCTACACCTTTTCATGTCATGGGCTCCCTGGGCAGTCTGGTGAAGCCTAGGGACCTCTGTTCAGAATAAAGTTTTCAAATACACAAAATAAAATACATAAGATTACAAGGGAACCAATTTTATTAAATTACAGCTATCAAAATATTTTAAAACAAGTTAATGGACCAAAGTTAAGAACTCCTGATCTAAAGGATAGACTTCTATACAAAATACACATGTATATATGCACACACATACAATAAATATTGTAAACATAAAATCTATAAGACTTGGCAGCTCATTGGCTATGGAGAATGAGGAAGAATGAGGAGTTGAGGATGACTCAGATTGTGAACCTGAATTACTGAGAGGAAGCTGGTGCCCTTGAGAGAAACATAGACCTTAGAAAGAGGATTAGGTTTTGGACATATTAAGTTTGAGATTATGTAGGATGTTTACCTCTAAATATCCAATGGACAGTTGGTGAGTGGGACTGGTGTTCAGGAGAGAAATTTGGGATGGATATATAGACCAGGGAATCATCAGCATAGAGATGATAAGTAAACTCACCATAGTTGATTAAATTATTGTCAGAGTATAAACAGAGCAAAAAGGAGACTCAGGACAAAGCTTTAGGGTACTCCCACAGTTGGGGGGGGTGGGATTTAGATTGTGGTCTATCAAAGGAGATAGGAGTGAGCAGACATGTAGGTGGATAATGAAGATACAGCAGTGTCTTAAAAACAGAGAGGAGATAGTCTGTAGGAGAGGAGGGTAGTCAACATTGTCAAATGCTATAAAGCAGTGGTGTCACACTGAAATAGAAATTGATCCCCTGCTGGCAGCATTTTGGCTTCGGATATCACAAATTGTCATTATCTGTGTTGAGTTGTATTTTTATTTATCTTGTTAAACATTTCCCAATTGTGTTCTAATCTGGTTCCCCACCCAGACTGGAGTGGGCAGAAAGTTTGACACCTCTACAAGATACCTCAAGAATTACAAGGATTGAGAAAGACCACTGAATCTGGCGATTAAAAGATCATTGACAAAGTTAAAGAAAGCAGTTTCAGGAGAGTGGACAATTTAAGTTGGCAAGAGGTAAGTGGGAGGACAGGAAGGGGAGCAATGAAAGTGAAGATTTTTTCCAGAAGTTTGGCTGTAAAAAGGAGAAATGGATGATATTTTGAGAGGATGGTAAGATCAAGTGAGAGTTTGCAAGATGGAGAGAAGACTTGAGTGTATTTGTAGGCAGCAGAGTAGGAGCCAGCAGGTAGGGAGAGATTGCCGATTACAAAGTCAGAGGGGATGATCTCAGGGCCGATGTGTCAGTCAAGTCAGAAAGGGAGGGGATCAAGGATACAAATACATACAGATACAAGGATACAGATACAAGGATACAAATACAAATAGTTGGCTGTAGCAAGAAGTAAATTACCTCTTCTTCTGAGACCAGAGAAAATGAGGGCAGAATAGAAGATGATGTCAAGGAGTTTGGGGATGCATATTAGAGAAGAGGGAACCCATGGGGAATGTTCTATGTTTTTTCAGTGAAGTATGAGGTGAAGTCCTCTCCTGAGAGGGAAGAGGAAAGGGGTGTTATGGAAAACTTAGAAATGGTTTGCAATACCTGCTGCATGAAAGACCAGTTGATATTGAATTATCAAAGAATAGAAGGATTGCCTTGTGGCAATGAAGGCCAAGTTGAGAATAGATAACAAATTTTTAGTGGATCCAATCAACATGGCTGCATGCCTCCTTTCAGCCTCATTCAGTACCGCATGAGTAGAAGAGGAAGGTGTGGATTGTGGAAGTAATCCAGGGTTGGAGTTTAGCAAGATATGATCAACGATGGGACAAGTGGACATGAGATTTGGCAGTAGAGCACAGCAGAAGGTTGAACTGGTTAACCTATAGGATCGATTTTGGGAAGAACAGAAAGTGAAGTCAGAGCAGGGGTAATGGCTTGGTAGAGCACCAAAGGGTGAAAAGACTAGAGTGAAGACAAAGAATAGGTTTAGGAGGAGTGAATTATAGGAAGAGACGGATGCATTTCATAATTCATGGTCATGAAAAATGGAACATCTGGGAGTGATGAGTGTCTCTTTTTGAGGTAGAGGAAAGGTATATAGGTCATGAGCACTGAAGATCATCCACTATGGCTTAGAGAAGTTGACTTGCACTTATGGAATGACAAACTTTTTACCTACTGTCTTCATTTCCCTTCCAACTACTTGCTTTTCAACCATTTGTATTCTGGCTTTCAATTCCTCCACTCCACTGAAACTGCTCTCTCAAAAATTATCAATGATCTATTAAACACAAAATCCAATGGCCTTTGCTTGAATTTCAGTCCTCATCCTCCTTGATGTCCCTTCACTGTTAAATCAACTCTCCTTCGGGATACTTTGATTATTATGAATGACACTTCTGGTTTTCCTACCTCCTATCTGACTACTGTTTCTCAAGTCCCCACCTTCTATCCCCCCATCTTGGTTCTCCTCTCTCCACAGTCTCTCCCTTGGTGATCAACCTGCATGGGTTCAATGATCATCTCTGTTCAGATGATTTGTCATTGGAGTCAGCAAAGTGTGTTACAGGCCAACTGGACAGAAAGAAGAAATAGATTGGGAAACAGGTTACTGTACTAACCTGGCACAAAGGCATTACAGAATTGGAGTTGAAGACTGCAATTATTCAGATATAGGCCTCCCAACTCATAAATATTCAGTGACTCCCTACTGCTTGTAGAATAAAATACAGACCCTGACATTTAAGGTCTTCCACAATCTGATTCCAAATGACCATTTCAGCCTTTGTGTTTCTCCCTTTCATAGATCTTCTAGCCAAACTAGCCCACTAACTCTTACCTGAATTCCCATCTCTTTGCATTTGCAAGAGCCATCCCTCATCCCTCCAATATTCTACTTCCTCAACTTAGCCTCTCAGGTTGTCTACCTTTATTCACAGCTGAACTCAGTTGCCACCACCTCTGCGAATCTTCTCTTGATCACTCAACTGTCTAATGCTCTCCACTTTCTCACAATTATCTTATATTTTCTTATTTGTATATCTGCCAATAGAATGTAAGCTCCCTCAGGACAGTGACTGTTTCATTTTTGTCTCTGTATTCCCAGGGCCTAGTACAGTGTCCTGCACACAGTAGATGATTAACAAATGTTTGTTGAATTCCCTGCTCTAAAATATCTTCTTCTAGAGGGATCAAGTGGCTGTTTGACCTCAGACAAGTAATTTCGTATATCTTGGCCTCAGTTTCTTTATTTGTAAAATGAGGGCATTTGATGGATGAAATGATCTTTAAGGATCATCACAGCACTAGAATGTTATAATCTTCAACCAGTTACACTACCTTTTACATAGCAGGAGACAAGTAAATATTTGTTGATTCAAATTAGTATGTGCTCAAATGGAATTTTTCACTTCATTTTGTTCTAATCCCTGAAATCCCCCAAAATGGAGATTCACTTGGATTAGCAAGTACCTTCTTTTTAAAAAGCAAAGGTCTCTGAGAGAGTTGAGGTTATCAGCCATTCACACATTACTGGAAACAAGTTTAATCAGCTGGCTTTCCTCCCAACACCTGGCTGAGATGAGTGAATGAGCTGAGGGATGGAAGAAGGAGGTAATTTTGGAGCATGGAATACTTTCATGGGAAGGGCAGGCTGAGTTAAACTGTTGGGATCAGTACTATAGGGTGGCATTAGGGTACTGAGTTCCTGGATCTAGAAAATGAATCGTTAGAAGGCAGAATGGCAGAAATAGAGATGGAAAGTTAGCAGAGGCAAAATTCGGCCACCAAGTAAAATGAATTCTCATTTCCAAAGAACTTACTTACAAATGAACTTTGAGGACGCTGTCCATTCTTTATTAGACATTACTTGCCTCTTATAGCAGCAAGATAGATGGCCATCTAACCAAGGTATGGTCACTTGTGGAGAAAAAGAAGATGGCCATTTTTCAAAATTATATTGGGAAGTCAGAGTTATACATCCAATCTGTTAATGATGAAATTTGTCTCCTTGTCTGTAAAATGGGAATAATATAATGCTTGTAGTACCTAAGGGTTGCTATGGTAACCGAATGATATGCTATAGGTAAACCACTTTTTAAATCTTCTGTATCTTAGTTATTATTATTGTTTATTATTATTTAGTTGAACTCTATAAACTCTTTAATAAGCTTATACTGTGTGCAAGACACTGAGCTAAGACCCTTGGTTACGAATATGAAAAAAATGCTTTGGTCCCTGCCCTCAATGAGCTTACATCTAATAGAGGTGCTATGACATAGACACAGGTAAGTAAATTATGATGTAAAATGTACTGAGTGCAAAAAAGTGATCCAGAAAATGTGCTCTAAGACAACCTTTAAATTTTTTTTTTTAATTTCAGTTAGAGGGAGGAGGGGATGGACAGAAGAGTATCCATAAAGCTGGTGGCACTGAAGTTGGACTTTAAAGGAAGAGAAGGATTTCAAGAAGTCAAGATAAGGGAAAAATGAATTCTGGGCAGAGAGGACAGTCTACCAGAATGAGAGAGGGAAATCAGAAAGAGTGAAGTTTGGCTGGACACACAAGCATGTGTGAAGAGGAGTAGAGCGTGGAATTGTAGGTTGGGGTGAGATTGTGGATGGCATTAAATGCCAGAGTAAATAGGATACATGTGTTTATACACATATCTATGTATATCTATATGTATATACACATACACACACATTATAGAAAATAGATAGCCATGGAATGTTTTTGAGCAAGCCTGGTCAGATTAGGGCATAGTATGAATATTTTGTTGACTATATGAAGGCTAGACTGGAAAAAGGAGAAACTAGGACAGGAAGACCATTTAGGATACTATCACATTAATTCAGAAAAAAGGGGCTAATTGATGTCAGCACATACTAAGTAAACTTTCCCACCTAGCCCAGTATGAATACATTTTCCAAGTGTCCCTGCATATGTCTTAATTGTTCCAAAGGCATCCCTAATGGGAACTCTCTCATAGGGTGTTACAGAACCGGCACTTTAGAAATTTTGCCCTTGTATCAGAGAACCTGGAAGATTTGGGATTCTTACCTGGAGGGAAGAGAAGGAGTTAGGGGACAGGGCAAAGTAAGGGAAGGGTGATGGGAGGAGGAGAACAGAAGGGGTCGGGAGCAATCGAAAGAGCAAGAACAAATATTTTCCCCTTTGCCCCCCTTCATATTCATTTTCTTAAAATTGAATTAAGTTTCAGTGAAAAGCTGCTTTGCAAAATAACAGCCTCTTTGTGGTTTCCCCAGCTGAGCTATAAGAGGCAATTTGTGATATGCAGTGTGTTCTAACTGCAGGTGAAAATTCACTGCCTACTGGTTACTTTAATAATAATAAGAATAACATTTTGTCCTGAACTGGCACCTTTCAACCAAGATCTCTAAGCCTTCAGGTTGACTGTGTTGTATTATCACATTGGCATTGGTGTGAGGGCCACTGTCAAGTTCTGTTTCCTTTTGCATGGCCAATTTCCCTTCTGCTCTCCCTTCCCAGGTAGTTAAATGTTCTCTTCATAAAAGCACTATTTGGCCTCTTTAGGGCAAGATATAGGAATATTTCTGGCTGCTGTTATTACTTCTTACAGTTATAATGTTTAATCTCTAAAATTTGCTTTAAAATAATGAACAAAATCCAATAATAGACACATCCCTGTGCCATAGAACAATGGAAAATAAATACCCAACATTCAGAACTATAAAAACTACCTTTCATGCTGATCTGAGATGTTTCTTGTTCCTTAACAGAGATCCAAGTAAAAGAAAGTCCTCTCGACAATGACAATTAAAACAGTTGAAGAGTCACAGGAGATGAATTCAGAGCTCTGGGAGAAACCAGTGTGTGGCATCACAACCCAAGGACCAGCCCTTGCTGAAAGCTGCCTGTCACCCATGGCTGGCATGATGAACTGGCCAAACTATTAAAGATGAAGAAGGTGGAAACGGCTTTATTCCCTTTGAGGCAGTTCTGAGCCAATCAATCCTGAAAATGAGGAACTATGGGTCTCTAATGAAAGCCACTGAGATGAAAATGAATTGTATTTGACCAATGTGGTTCACCAAGTACAATGTTCTGTACACAGTGGGCGTTCAACAGATTCAAGACAACAATTCAACAAACGCTTATTAAGCGCTTTCTCTGTGGAGATCAAGTGGTTATTGGGGGTCAAGTAGTGACTAGAGGGCTGGCCTTGAAAGCAGGAAGTCCTGGGATCAAGTTCTGACTTTGTTATACACTACTTGTGTGACCATGGGCAAGTCAATCAACATTTCAATGGCCCTGCGCATCTCTCTGAAGCTTAATGTCAAAGATATGTTTGCTGATCTGTATCCGTAGAGAGAGGAGGTTTCCATGTGGTGAGGTTCTTACACTGATGAAATAATGGATCTTGACTAAAAAATAAAAATATTGAGGTCAGGACTGCTCAGAGTCCTGTGGGGGAAAATTCTGTAATTATGGCCTCAGTGAAGAACTTGTAGAGTTTCATCAAAAGCTAGGTTCCAAATCCCAAATCTCAAATCAATGAGTGAGATGCATACCCAACGAGCCTGGATTAACATACCTTTGACCATACTCTGATCAACTGATCAATCAAAAAGAATTTATTAAATACATACTAGCCAGGCACTAGCCATACAAAGGTAGTAAAGCAATTGTCCGTTCCCTCAAGGAGCTTATAGTCAATCAGAAGAGACAACATAAATAAATACATATATGCACATATATAAATATATACAAAAACATAAATAAAAGTTAATTTGGAGGAGACACCAACAGCTGAAGGATAAGGAAAGACTTTGTATAGAAGATGATGCTTGACCTGAATTTTGAAGGAAGGAATTCAGAGTAGGGGTGATAGCCTGGGAAAGTGCTAAGGAGTACCTCACAGTGAAGATGATGACTAGGTTTAGGAGATGTAAAGAATAAGCAGAGATGGAATGATCAGAATTTATGATCAGAAAAAGGAATTTCAAAGTTCTTGATCATGGAATTAGAAACATGAGGATGAGAAATGACCTCAGGGGTGCAAATATCCCTGGGTGGGCCTGAGATGGCACATCATAGCAGGTCATGGGAAGTGAGGAGACAGGAGCTAGTATATTAGGGTATTTAAGGGACTCTCAACATATATGTTGAGGTTCACTAGTATTAGAGCAGGTGTTGAGATGAAGAAGATTCTGAGTCAGGCACTGACCTCCTTGAGAAGTGAGGGAGAATGACGTGGGGGCCAACTGATTACTGACAATTCTGGGTCCACCCCTTCCATTCTCATTTCACCAGATCCCATCAATACTGTTCCCAAAATTTGTCTACACAAGGGCCAGCAAAATTCCTGTATCTTGGACTACTGAAGTGGCCTCAGAATAACCTCCCTCAGCAATGGCTGTAGCTCATACATCAAATCCAAACTGTTTACAAAAGTGTTCTTCTGAAACTATTTCTAAAAGAGTTTGTAAGCTGTTTGTTTGTCACAATATTCACCCACCAGACCAAATTTAATGCCACTCCTCCTCTCTTCCCTCCTTCCCTGTTTGTTTCTTTTCTCATGCCTTTGACTTCTGCTTTCCCTGTGAGCTTTCATTTCCTTCAGAAAAATCTCCATCTTCTGTTCTTTTACGCCGAGTGTGTTGCAACCCTTACTCCTACCGCCTCTCTCCTGAATGCAAAGGGCAGGCAGGTGGAAGCAATATTTGCTGAGGAGCCAGCATAGTTCTAGTTATGAAGATCAGTGGGAACAGTAAAGATTATTGGGGTTGGGGTCCAAAACAGGTGAGGAACACATTGAATTTCTACACTGTCTTGGAATTCTTAGGGAAATGTGAATGTAGAGTCAAGATTTCCACCCCAAAACAGAGGTTCCAAATAAATGTTCAATAACAACTACAGCATTTGACAATAAATATTTATTAAAGCACACACTGTGTAGATAGCACAATTCTAGGTGCTGTGGGAGATAAAGAATTACGATAAAACACCCTTACTTCATGGTGCTTACAATATAGTAGAAGAATGATACAAATACAGATGATAATGATATCTCATAATGCTTGATAAGTGATATATATGTATATAAAATGAAGTGCTATATCTGGTTAAGGAGAAAGGCGATGAAGGTAAGGGAATAAGGGATTTATCCATGGAAAAAGGTAGGCAAGAATCCAAATAGGTGAAGATGGGAAGAAAAACATTCCAGGAAAGTCTTGGAGGTGGGAGATTACAGGGCATGTTCAGTGGGTAGAGATTGGTCAGTCTACTTAGAATGCTGTTTAAAGTGTATGGAGGGAAGTAATAAAAACAGGCTAGAAGGCAGTGGCTCATATGGGAGCTAGAAGGTACTGGGTAGGCTGATATCTAAGAATTTTGTTCACCTGTGGACTGTTTTGGGGTGAAGCCTGGAAGAAGTAATGTGGGAATGAGGGTCTGGGTGATGCCAAAACAGTATGGGAAATGGGAAAAATGACTGAGGTTCTGGAATCAGGTTGGGAGACCTAGGAAGGATGCAGATATGGCTAATGAATTGGCATTTTACTTTGTGGATAACCACAAAGAGGTGCCGTGTTGAAGTGGGAATGTGATCTAGGTATTATGAGAGTGATCTTTGGAGTCCCAGGATAGGTAGAAAAGACAGCTAGCATTGTAAGAAAGGCCAAAAAAAAAAAAAAAAGCATTTGAGTGGTCAAGGTTGCCATTTGGATAACAATAGGTGAATGAAATGTCTAATGGAGTGGAAGCAGATCCCACTGCAGTGAGAGATATCTTGTGAGATCCTTGGAAGGCAGAAAAAAAATAGTCCAGAATGTCACAGAAGTGTTAGGTTTCTGCTAAAAGTGCCAATATGCTTTGACAGTTCAAGATGAATACAAGTACATGGAAGAATATGTTTCAACAGTTGATTCATTTTATCTTCACTCCCAAGCATTATCACATAAAACAAGAAAATCAATGCTGCGTTCAAGTTCTGGAAGGAATGTGATAGATTTTTTAAAAATCAGCATTCTTGGGACTTGCATGTGGACAATAAGAGAATGTATTTCTATGTGACTTTGCTTTTCAAATGCTCTCCATGTGGGGAGAGGATCTACCCAGCAGATCTGCACACTGTAATCAGATCTGGCTTCCTCAGGAATACTACTTATATTGTCCATATCTAACAGGGGAAAGCCATTAAAAGTTACAAATTAAAAGCCATTGAGAAAGAACATAATCTTGGCCACTACCTCTTGGGAAATCTTGCTATTACAAGGGCTTCATGAAAGACTGCTTTAAACACTGCCACTGTTCATACCAATAGAAAACAAGGAAGGAAGGAAGGAAGGAAGGAAGGAAGGAAGGAAGGAAGGAAG